GATTAAGTCTCTGACTACTATTATTAATACTCCAGCTGTTAGGTAGCTAATTCTAACAACTTTATCTCCTCAAATACATAATAGACTGTACAAGAATTTTCAAATGTTCAAATATATGTTTTACTTTACAGATTATTGCTTTGTATTTACAAGTAACTTTGATTCTGATTCTTATATGTTTTCATAATAGAAACTAACTAGAATTTTCTAAGTGGAAAAAAGTTGATAACAGCAGGCTCATTTTCCTCCCATCTCATGCACACAGTTAGCAGTTGGACTGTTTAGAAAGACTGCTCTGTGAGCAATTTATATTTAAGTTCTCTTCCCTGCAGCTTCCAGTCCTGTCACTCACCCATCATGCCAGGAGTTCCTGAACTTTAATGTTCCACAGATGACGTTCTTTCTCCAAATACCTGGACTGCTCACATCCCCTGCAAGTGATTCCAGTGTACAGGCATGCATATGAACACTAGGATGGGGAGCACACTGCTACGAGGAACTGAACTTCCCATAATTAAAAGGCTGCTATGCTTTTAAGATGACAATATGTAATTTTTTTAAAGTGGGCCAGTGTAGGTGAATAGCTGCATAGGGGCGCAGACAGCAGACAACATATTACTGTCATTGTACTCACTTCTGTGGTTACACTGCAGGTCCCAAACATTTCAACAGAGAACCATAGGAAGCCACAGATCCTCAGAGTCCTCAGTTACCAAAGCACAACTGAGCTACACTTCTTGGGACAATATGAGAACCGGCGGCACTGCAAGCAGCTCATGGTTACTGTATAGGAGCCGTGTGCAAATGAAACCAGTTGCCCTTCATCCCTGGTCAACTATTAGGACAACAATTAGGAAAATTGTGGGTGAGGAATGAATCCATTTCCAGAACGAAGGAATGGAAGGATAGCAGTGGTTGCTCTCTGTAGATTCACCCCTTACACAATATAAAACACACAACCTGAAGTTTTCAAGATAGGGTAATGAAGGTGCAGAAAATACCACATTAGAGTCAATGGTTAAAATCACTCTCAATATATTTCAGCTATTTGTTATTTGTCAGGGATAATAAACACCAGGGGTTAGGAAGCAATGACTTAAAAAACAAAAAACACCATTGTTAAAATTGTTTCAGGGAGCTAGTTACAGTACTACATACATATATACACATTATCCCTCCTTCTACTCCTTATGATTTGTAAACAAAACCAAAAGGGGGAGGGGACGACAACAAAAAAGTACACTGACAGACTCAGCCAGAGTAGCAACAGATCAAAATTACAACTAGAAAGTTGTGAGCCAGCGAGATGGTTCTGTCTATAAAGACACTTGCCATAAAAGCCTATTAATTCTAGTTGGCTCCCCAGGATTCCTTCAAGTTGCACACAACATGCACACCCATACACACTATGAATGCACATACAACAACAATAAATCTAGAAAGCTTTTACCCATAATTTCTACCACAGAAAACAAAAGTTCAAAACCAAGAGTATAGTAAGGTGTCAGATTTCGCTTGACCTATGCTCTGAGCTAACAGGCTTCCTAAGCCAGGCCTACGACACTTGGCCCGTGCCAAAACGAGCACTTCGGGGAAGTAACCTGCATATAGGCGCCTTTTACAAACCACAGATGGGAATATAATCCGCAGTCTTTCTTGTATCTAAATCACCAAAACTGATTAAATATATTTTAAAGGAACAGGAAACAGCATCTTTCTTCCATGTTAGATAACTCAAGGTTAGACTTCAACTGGCAGCACAAGACAGCCAAGATAGGGGCTCAGTATTGGTTGTGGTTCTATAGACATCCAAAATCAAAATGGAAACTATGTGTTGTAAGGAGGAGCTCCACTGTGCAAATCTGTCCTCCCAGTTCCCATGGTGAGCCCGGCACAGCTTCAGTAATGGCCTATATACTCCACAGGAACTGTGAGGCTGCCTCAGCTAGTCCCTGTTCTTCCTATCCTAACCTGTCAAAGGTTAAGGAATTTGTCAAGTTACTACTAAATGACCCAAGTGAGATTCAAACCCAAGTCACTGTGTCTGTGGTCTTAATCATTATGCCACGACCAAAATCAAAACAACAAAATTAATCACCCTGAGGGAAAATTAATGTTGAATTGAAGGTCTGTAAGCAGTGAAAGAGTAAGGATCACTACTCATTTGATAGGTTTTCTCATGACACATTCTTTCTCTTTGCTTAGATTTAATAATTTATTTTTAAAAAAAGTCAATCAATTTGAGGCTAAAGAGGGTAATAAAAATCCTCCAGCAGCTGCTTAGGGTTTTAAGCAACCATGTCCTAACAGCATGTGATAGCTCTGTTACACAATGTGAAAAATCTTTACTCCAATTAGTATCTCAATCAAGTCAGGCTGGGATGTGAAGGCCTCTATTATTTGCTATCAGAACCATTCTAAAGGGAAATGGAGAGAGGGTGACAAAAAAGGGAAGGTCCAAATGAATCTAATGTCATTCAGACACGCAAACAGACGTCCACCCAGAGCGCTGACTTCGGACTATCTGAGGAATATTAAGGAGAACTCAGCACAGTGCTAACATTTTAAATCACTTCTTTATAAAGAAAGCACTCATGTGTCTATTTGTTTAAATGCCTTGCAATTGGTAACTGCAAAAAACTGTTCACTGTGGGGAATATGAGACGATGCAGTTTTCACATGAACAAGTCTCTACAGAAAAGGACAGTGTCTAGAGCACAACAATTCTCTTAATCAGAGTTCAACAAGAAACATTTTGATTTGATCATAATCATATTTCATGTCTTCTGATCTTTGAGTCTCTGTCCTTTTCATCTCATAGGGTTAGCCAAAATACTGACTACAACGTAACCAAAGTACTTACTACAACGTAAACAAAGACCAGGAAAGTAATATGTCTGTACATGAATTCACATTGCTTCTAGCCCAGCAGGTCGTAAACTGGGTTCGCGCCCCTTTCACAAAGGTCACATATCAGATATCCTGCATATCAGACATTTACATTATGGTTCACAGCAGTAGCAAAATTACAGTTTGGAAGTAGTAACAAAATAATTTTATGATTGGGGGGTCCCCACAACATGAGGAACTGTGTTAAAGGGTCGCAACATTTGGAAGGCTGAGAACCGCTTCTCTACTTGAACACATTAGAGATGTTAGAAAAAAGTACAAAGACCACCTTGCCTACTAAAAATCACTCAGACTTTCAGAGAACAACCAGACACTCTCTAATAACTTCTACCTGTCAAATGGAATCAATGACACCGCCCGCCCCATCATTTCAGGTTTGTATCCCATTATAATCAAGCTAAAGAGTTTTACATTCCTCGTTTTATTTTTACAAAGCATTTCCTTTCTGCCTCTCCCAGTGATTATTTTTAATGCTTTTGCCGGCACACGACACAAGTGACTGGAAGAAACTTCACTCCCAGGCGAAGCAGAGAGAGGACCTGAGTGAGCCAGACTCACAAAAACTCCCTCAAACTGCCTACGGCTTTTGGGGTGTCTTCACCCTGACTGGACCACCTGGCCACTTCGTTCAGACTCAGAAACAGACACGATGCCAGTCATGTACACACCAAATGAAGCCAGCAATTAAATACACACCACAGAAGACACCGGGTACAGTGTATCACTCCTCCTAACAGGGGTACTCTGTAAATACGACACATGCCACTAGCTACTGTGAGAACCCACCTCTACCGGAAACCAGGTACCGTGTGTACACAGTGTAAGCCACTGGTCACGCAAAGGATACTCTGTAACACTCTATGACACTCGACACCCTATACAAAGCTACTGCACACACAACTGCACACAATGCTAGATACTATGTACACATCTCAGCCCTCCCGGGATGCAGTGCACACACATTTCAGCTGTGCAACGGCACAGTCCAGTGTTGATACAGATTAGAGGACACTTGGGTGCTGCGTGCATACTGCCTATGACACTGAGTGCTACTCACAAACCACACAGGACCGACCGACCCGTCAGTACCACGGACACACGGCCAACACTAAGTACCACAGACACCAACCAAAGTCCCGCGGACACACCGCAAAGCACTCGCGGCTCGGCCCAGGAAAAAAAAGGCATGCGTGGAGACGGCCCAAGTCAAAGTTCGGGCCACAGCCCCATAGGCAGCGTCCCCATCAGCTTCTCTCTCCAGCTCTGCAGGGGCACAAGGCGGCTGATCCCGCAGGACGGCCGGGAGGACCTGTTGAGGCAGCTGAAGCCTCGCAAGCCGCTCGCCTGCAGCCCCCGGGAGATTGACCGGCACTGGTCTCGGGGATCGCCGCTTCCATCGCTCCCCTCCGCCCGCCGCACGTTCCACGCAAAGGGCCCTCGGGCCTGGCCAGGCGGGAGGCGCGGGGACCCGGCAGGAGGAGCTCACAAGACTCCGCGGCTTCGCAGCGCCAGCAGGCCGCGCGCGGTTCTCCGCGGCCTTCAACCGAGCCGGCTCCTCACGGCTGCCCGAGACAAGAGGCACCCGACCGAGGGGAGCGTCCAGCCCGCAGGCCTCACCGGCCTGGGGCAGTCCCTGAGGCCACTATCTGCCGCCGCCCGCCACAGAGGCCGCGGCCCTGGCAGCC